CGGCGCTCCTCCGCGGCTGAGCCTCCCTTTTCCCTTGAGCAGCGCAGACCGCAGCTCCTGCTGGATTTTAGCCCACGTGTCGTGGGGGGGCCGCTCCGCGGTAGCCGGGGAGCCGAGCTCCGAGGCAGGAGTCAGCCTCGGGCCAGTCCTCTCGGCAGAGGTGCTGTATTGGGGTGCCAAAGGACTGAGGGGTGGTTGGAAGACATCCTGTTGCTTCTTCGATGTAGCGTTTTGAAACAGAATTGCCCCTGTACCTTTCTTCATCAGTTTCCTTATGCTTAAGAGCTTTGATACATTGATAGCTTTGATAATGAGTTAAATTCAGGTTTAATTAACTTAAATGTTAATTAATGTTGATGTTAACTTAATTAACTTAAATGTTTTCTGTATAGCAAGCAGTCCTGTCACAACTGTGTCTGCTCGTTATTTCCTAATTCATTGAGGAAGAATTTGGCATGTTTGTTTTATCTCCCAGTGATAACAGCACCAAATCCTACTGAAATGAGTTATCTTTTGCTCAAGAGCCAAAACGCTGGTATTGTCATTGTATTCAGGATGATCGTTTATGTGCAATTTTCATGTGGAAAGTTATTTGCCCGATTTGATAATCTGTGGTTATTTATTAGTTTTTATCAAGAAATATTTCTGATTCTGTTGACCAGTAGATAACACCTTCTGGATGTTGTCAGGCCATTCACTTGAAAGCCTCTATGTGATCTATATGACAAGTTGAGCTGAAGCATAGGTCAGAGACTGAATTTACCATGTGTCAGTTCAAACTTGCATTGTAGTTCTTATTATGTTTATTAGGAGGACGTTTTTCTCTGACCCTGTGAATAAGTTAAGTACCCTTAAAAGTTATGTACCCTTAAAAATTGTGTTGTGGAAAAGCTATCTTGTATTGTAATATTTTTTTTATATATATATATACCAGTTAATCTTCAAGAAGTAATACAGGAGAAAAGAGGCAAAGTATTAGTGAAAAGATGCTGTCCTTGAAAAAAGTGTGCTGCCACTTTTGCAACTGCTTTATCGTAAAATACATTTTTTTATAATGGTCAAAGCAAGGGAGAGGAGAATAAAGAAATCTTGTGTATAAACTAAATGCCTGACTCTATTCAGCCTAATAAATAATGCATGACAAAGTTGAGTTTTAGATACACTACAAAATTGGGAATGTTTCTTAAGTGCTTTGGATGTTTTAGATTTTTTTATAAATTTATATTTTTCTGTCTCTTATTTTCAGGAGAGACATACTGGCTTTTAAGTGGCACAGAATATGTTGTTGGACGCAAAAACTGTGCAATTTTAATTCAGGGTGATCAGTCCATCAGTCGAAATCATGCAGTTCTGACAGTAAGTCGCCCTGAAACGACCCCGGTACGTAGCCAACATTTTGCTGTATTATCAATACCCTGTGTGCATAATTCGTTCTCCCATGACCATATGTATTGCAAATTTGTTCTCACTTGTGTTTTATGCTTGGAGTAGAACCGTTGATCACCCGCCCTTTCCTAATCTTGTCATTATTTTGCCTTTTTCTTGGGGTAGCTTGCCTGTGTTGGGAAATTTAGTGGCGTAATTCTCCTGGTCCAAGCTCCCTTTTATCCCAGAGTGAAGATGCTCTAGGAATTTGTATTAGAAATAATCATCACAGGGAAATTAGACAGCTAAATTTCATTGCATAGACAAGTTTTAGGTCTTGGTTCTGGAAAGTGCTTTAGTTGTCTTACAGCAGGCTTAGTTCGTGTTTCATTCCACATCATTAATTCTGTATTTGCTTAGGGGTCGGAAAATAAAAAACGTCCCAAAGAGAAATAGCAAGCAGCAATTTATTATTACTTAGGTATTGCAGTGTTTATGGACATTTTGAACTCGATCAGCAGTAATTTATTTGTGTTACCGCATAGAGAGTTTTAAATGAAATACGTAAAATTTATTTATCCTTTTAATACTGAAAATAATGTATAACTGCGTAGCAAAATTTCAAATTTAAAAGCTGGCTGGCAGCGTTCTCATTGGCTTGTGAGCTATTTGGGAACTGTGACAGTGTCTAATCTCTTCTCAAGACGTACTGGTGTCGCCATGCCCTGCAGGTTGTGGATGACCAGCAGTGCTTGTGGAAGGAAGTGAGGGCAAGTGACTTGGGCACCTATGCCAGGGCTGAATGGTAGGTAAAAGCATCAATAATAAATCTCAGAGCTTTGATAAATTGCACTAGCAGAGGCTTTGGGCTGGTGAGTGCTTGCATTGCACAGCCCACAAAAAGCCTTGAGTGTAAGAACCACAGAAGTTTTGCAGCTAAAAATACATGTGTTTTTTCTCATTCCTTCGCAGTGAAAAGCAGAAGATGAATAATTAGATGTAGCCAGCCTTATTGTCCAAAGTCTTTATTTAGGATGGTGTTTTGTGGACTTTTTCTCATTTATTGACTGCTTTGATCCGTAATGGTAGTAGCTTGATTCTGGTAAAACAGTCTCATTAATGGTTTATTTATGTTTATTTTCAGGGCCAGTCTCTCTCAGTCCCTTTATTAACAGTAACAGATACATCAAAATATGGTACCTTTGTTAATGGTTCAAAACTCAATGGCACTTCAGTGTCTTTGCAATCTGGTGACAGAATCAACTTCGGAGTCTTTGAGAGCAAGTTTAGGTAAGTGCTTTGATTATAAAATATGAAGTATAAAACTGCAGCTTTGGAAAAGAGTGTTTTTGCACATCATACAGCTTGGCAAGTGATGCAGCAGTGATGAGTTTTTGGAATGCAAAGGAGATGAGTAGTATTTGCCTGTGTAAATAGAAAAAATTCTAATGATGATTAAAATCAACATTTAAGCAAAGTTGGCTTTGTCTCTTAAAATTTGACTCTGTTTTGTCACTGCTGCTGCTATTATTTGACAGAAAAAACGGCATTCTCCTCCACTTACTACAGTATATTTTTTAATATATTTTTAGGTAAACATGCCTGATATGTGATACATGAATCATGCCATGAGACCAGATACATTGTGACTGTTGTACCAGAAAGATTATTTAAATTTCTTTCTTCTTTTTTGGACTAAAACAAGTCAAATAATGGAATTTGATGGAAGATCTGCAAATATAGACTTATGGCCAAGGGTGACAGCTGTGTTAGGAAAAAAAGTTACTTGAACTTGCATTATATGACACATTTTTTTAAGTACTGGTCTGTTGATGGGCTGTTCAGTTGAACATGCTTTTGCCTTTGGAAGCACACGCTCCATTTCTTCTCATATTCCCTGACTTTGCAGTATTTTTGAAGTGCTAATTCTATGTCCTGTCTATGAAAAGACCCAAAAGTCTTTAGAAATGCTTCATGCATCAAGTCAAAATATTGTTAATTTTTCTGCATAAAAATCAGTATTTACTTCAGGAAATTTTAAACTACAGTCTTTGAGCTAGGTAAGAATTATGGAGTGGTTTGGTTCGGAGTTTTTTTGCCCCCACATTTCCCTGAGACACTAACATGATGGTTAAGTTGTCTCTGTTTGTCCTAATGATTGGCTGAAATAACTAAGGCAATTCTCTTTTCACTTGTGCTTTTCAGAGTGGAATATGAACCTTTAGTTGTCTGCTCCTCATGTTTAGATGTTTCTCAGAAAACTGCTTTAAATCAAGCCATCCAGCAGCTTGGAGGTGTTGTAGTGAATGAATGGACACAAGAGTGTACTCATCTTGTAATGGTATCAGTAAAAGTTACTGTTAAGGTATGTTTTTCATACTGATGCTGTCGCTTTGCGCTTTTTCCAAAAATGCAAATTAAATTCTAGATTTGGTCAAGATTTTCCTTTACAGAGCTACGAAGTCAACTTTTTCCTTTTCCAAATTCAGGAGGAGGTGTGTGTCGATGGGAGGTTGGAGAGAAAGAAAATGAAAAAAGCTAGTTCTGAAGGCTTACCGGTTTTCATCAGTTGCCTTGTACGTTTTCATAACTGTGAACAAGAAAGCAATTTAAAGCTAGGCTATTAGATGTAAAACTATCCTGGTATTCAGTAGAAAAATTCAGTATTGTTCTATTTGTTTGTGTGATGTTTACCACATACTCTAGCTGAACTTCTTCCATACAGTAAATACATGATTTCTGTTTTTCAGACTATATGTGCTTTAATTTGTGGTCGACCAATTATAAAACCAGAGTTTTTTGCTGAATTAATCAAAGCTATCCAGTCCAGGCAACAGTTGCCAAGTCATGAAAGGCAAGTATCATGTTTCTAAAGACCCAGAATTAAGGGAGTTATCAAATAACTGCATGTTTATCTAATCTTATTTGACATGCGTGGTTTACAGTAACTTCATTTGTGGACGAATGCTTAATATGACTCACATTTTAACATTCAAGCAATGTTCTTGCTCTCATCCCTAGAGTTAGAAAATGAGCTCTTGGAATTGACCGTATGCTCAGAGGTGTTCCCAGCTCTAAATAGAAGCTTGTTTTATTGATACGTTTGAAGCAACATTTAAACTCTTTGGGGATTTCATACATTAAAATAAAAATATATTTTTATAGAAGAAATTATTATATCAAGCTTGTTTTGCTATATAGATGTATTTTCCCAGTATGCAGTTAGTTACTGAATTTACTCTAAACTTTGTTCAAAACAGAGTTTGCCTGACCATTGAATTCTCTGAAATAGCAGGAGGTTTTAGTTATCTGTTAAGAGATGAAGTGAGACTAATATGCATTGGTCTGCACCATATGAGAGTAAAATACTCACTGTTTTCATGGTTAAATTGACTTAGAAAGGGAATTCTTATTTCGGAGTAAATAAGTAGTGCAGAACAGACCTTTTGGTTATTTTCTCTGTGTAAGAACGTGTAAAATAATCCCATTATTTTATGTAAGAATTTCATCAGAGCCTGTATTGCTACTATTTTTGCCTTGAAAAGAGAGACAGTTGTGTTTTTGTTTGGGGCTTGTTGGTTGTTTTTTGTTTGGGTTTTTTTTTTCGTATGAACACATGATTTATTCAGGTGAGACTTCAATTGTGTATTTTTAAAAGGTAAACTGCCTGAGTACTTGGGTTTTTTTATTGCTTCGGTTCTTGACAGAATCACACAGAATCATGTGTTTGCATGCTTTGGAAGATACAGTGAAATGGAATACACAATGATAGGAAACGACACTTGAAAGCATGTTGGACTTATTTAATAGGGAGGAAAAAAGTGAAATTAAGTGCGTTCAAGATATGATGTGTTTTCTGGATGTTTTAACTAGCTGGATGCTGGACATAAGTCATTTGAGTTGGGGGAAATGAGTGGTGAAGAAGAATAGAAATCACTTACTTTTACAAATGAACAGATATACATACATACATACATATGTGTTAAAAGATAGCAATTTTATAGACAAAGAGTGTATCCTCAGCAAGTTTGCTGATGATACAAAACTGAGAGGAGTAGCTGACATGCCTGAAGGATGTGCTGCCGTTCAGCGGGACCTGGGCGGACTAGAGAGCCAAGAATGTGCCCTCATGGCCAAGAAGGCCAATGGCATCCTGGGGTGCATTAAGAACAGTGCGGCCAGCAGGTCAAGGGAGGTCGTCCTCCCCATCTGCTCCATGCTGGTGAGGCCTCACCTGGAGTAGTGTTTCGATTTCTGGGCTCCTTCCTGCCACAGTGTAGGAATGCACTGCAGAGGGACCTGGACAGGCTGGGTCGATGGGCGGACACCACGGTATGAAGTTCAGTAAGGCCCAAATGCAGGGTCCTACACTTTGGCCACAATAACCCCCTGCAGCGCTACCGACTGGGGGAGCAGTGGCTGGAGAGCGGCTCGGAAGAGAGGCACCTGGGAGTACTAGTTGACAGCCGGTTGAACATGAGCCAGCAGT